TTTTTTTTTTTTTTTGTCGGGGGGAGGGAGCTGTTCATTATTTAGAAAACCTGCCCGTAAAGTTAGAAATCACAGAATGCTATGAGGTTGGAAGGGACCTCTGGAGATCATCTAGTCCAACCCCCCCATACTAAAGCAGGTCCACCCAGAGCAGGTTGCACAGGAACACGTCCAAGCAGGTTCCTGAGACAGAGTCTCCACTACCTCTCTGTTGTTGAATGTTCCAATCCAGCTAGAATAACCTTTGGAGTTTGGTATCTCTGATTGTTTGGCTTTCTGTACTTCACTATAAAAGTGGAAATTTAAAAATGCCAGCTTTTGTTAAATGTTCCAATCCAGCTAGAATAACATTTGGGGTTTGGTATCTCTGGTTGTTTGACTTTCTGTGCTTCAATATAAAAGTGGAAATTTAAAAATGCCAGCTTACTCATCCAAGAGGAGTAGCAGCAGCATAACTGCAGCAGAGAACAGGTCTTGCAAACCCCACTCCTCTCTCATTTTATAAGTTTATTATTTTTCAGTGGTAAAAGTGTATTAAGATGGTCCACATGCTGTGGGAGGAGATCAGAAAGGGCTTTGGGGGCACCACAAGCTTACATGTCAATGCAAGGGTGGGCACGGAGCCAGGTGTGACAGCACCAAAAGCAGTAGCCAACAGCACAAAGCGCCCTCACCTCCTCTGAAATAAAGGTTTCTTTTGCCACAGGCTAATTATTTCCACCCATTTCCCTACTACAACATCTCTGCAGGCTCAGGAAGGTCTGTCCCTGCTGTTTACTCTTGCCTGGTATTTTCCAAGCACTGAGGTGTCCAAGACCTCACTGGTCCTTAATGTATGGTTACCATACTCCTACGTGGATGCAGGCAGCACAGGGGTAGAACAAGCCAGCCTGCTATACTTTATTTATGGGTAAACTTGCCACCACATGAGCACTTTATTTCCTTCTTCTGAAAATAATAATAATAATAAAAAACCCCTTCCAGTCTGTCAAAAAACACCACCTGACCTTCTCCTTTCCTTTTCAGGATGGGCTCCTTTTACGCTCCAGGGCTCGTGGGTATAAACGTGCTGCGCTTATTAACCTCCATGTATTTTCAGTGCTGGGCTGTCATGAGCAGCAATGTCCCTCACGAGCGAGTCTTCAAAGCCTCCAAGTCCAATAATTTTTACATGGGACTTTTGCTGTTGATCCTGTTTCTCAGCCTCCTGCCCGTGGCTTACACCATCATGTCCCTGCCTCCCTCCTTTGACTGTGGACCCTTCAGGTACCAGTGAAACACCCGACACACCGGTTTCTGCTCTGACACATGGGATTATTTTCACAAAATTAGAACTCTCCAGCAGAAATTGTGAAGTGCCTCCATTCTCAATCTGGTTAAATTGGTGGTAACGGGCCGTGCCCAGCAGTGGGCAACACACACCAATGAAAGCAGCAAAGGACAGCAGGGGTGGGATAGCAGGGTGCAGCCCCCAGGGAAAAGCAAAAAAACAAACAAACAAACAAAAAAAAAAGGCTATGGGAGCACCCATAAGGCTCTTAAGAACATTCTGGGAGCAAAACAGGGGTCCAAAGCCTCCTTCTAAGACCTTCCATAGAGCCAAGAACTCCCATAGCATGAGATAGATTTTACGTGTTGAATTTTTTTGGAAAATAGCAGGAAATTGATAGGCTCGAGCCTGAAGAGTTGCAGCTTTTTTTCTTTTTTTTAAATTAGGACAGAATCAGCACTGCACAGAGCATTCAGTGGACCAGATTAACATGCCAATAAAGTCTAATTTGATTGAGTAATGCCATTTCCTGTGCCCCTTGAATCTGACTCAGCAAGGAGCCAGCTTGGAACAAATTGTTCCTGTAGATGCACCGGTTTAGGTTATCCACTTGCTAATGGAGAATGACAATAGAAAGCTAAAAGACTCCAGGGAGAAGGCAAGAGACCAAAATTTCCTCAGTTCTGCAACAAGGACAGGTGTCAACGAGCAATGTCAGAAGATCTGACAGGAAACTTGTCGCATGCACGCTATCATTTGGAGATGACTAATCTGCAATGTGAAAGAGCTATTTCAATTCCCAATCAACCCTTCAAAAGCCACTCAGCCTGATTCAGACCCTTGGCACACCTCTCAGCTCGACTGAAAGCTCAGCTCTCTTGGGTTTTAGGCAGTTGATGAAGCTGGGGTACCACTTAGCCAAGTTTGTCATTATTGACTCTCATCCTCAGGACAGAGTCCAATGCCTTCCTGAGCAGAATCCTGCAAGATCCCAGGAGGCACCAAGCCCAAAGATGAGGAATAGCGCTCTCCGGGTTCAATTCACAGACCCAGAGATGCTGAGGGGAAAAGAAGGTCAATTATGTAATCCAGCCTTTTACAGATTTGTTCTCTTTTCATACAGAATACTCTCATCTTTTTTATCAATCTGGTGGGAAATGACTCTTTCGCTGAGTTTCCTATTAAGCAATAATCACAGCTTGCTATTTTTGTCATTACTTAGCAGCTCTTCAAGTTGGCACATTATTTCAGAAAGCTGGAATTTGTGTATGGAAAGTCATCTCTCCCATGAAGAGGCCATATTTAACAGGATATTGATCAGAAACACACGGCTGCTGCACTCTGTAGGGTTTTATACATTTCAGAGGGGTACATAAAACTCACACAAGAGCCACACATGGAAATAAATATATTATCTCCAGGAGCAAGTTGGCCTAGCAAAGGTTATTCTTATAATCAATGGGGGTGGCTGGGGAACGGATGGACCAATAGATAATTTAAAACAAAGTCATTCCAGTAGAATTTGTTGTCAAGATCCTTGGTGGCCAACAGCACTGTTGGCAACTGATGTTCACTGAAAGGGAGGGGACTTGCTACTTAGCATCATTAAATTAGGGGCTATTTTGTCCCTCCAGGAAATACCTACGCTTCCTAACTGGCCCTTTGTCTTTCCAGTGGAAAGAAAAGGATGTATGAAGTCATCCAAGAGACCATCGAGCTCGATTTCCCACTTTTTGTTGCCAAGATCTTCAGCTACGTGGCAAATCCAGGATTGATCATACCTGCAATTCTGCTCATGGTGTAAGTTTTCCTCGCAATATCATGTGCCTGGCTGGGGGAGCAGGTTGGAAAACATTGCTGGGACGTCAGTGAGATTTGCACACAGCTTCTGCTGAAATAATGGCCCATCCAAGGGCAAAGTCCTTCTCCTTAACCCCTCTACCTTCCCTTGCTCAACCCAGTTTCCCAAAACTTAGATTTCCTGACCCAGTTAAACACAACCTTGCAGATGAAACACATTGCTGACAAAGGCCTCGTGGATATCAAAGCCATCACAGCTTCCATAGGAAAAAAAAAATTAAGTAGCCAGCAGGAAATAAAGGGACAGTCGCAGCCCAGTGCCTTGTGGAGAAGCAATTTCTGTCACAGCTGGTGGTATTTACAGCACTGCCAAGCCAGGCATTCAGAAATTACACATTCCAAAAATATGAAGAGTTGTTGGTTTGGTTGGGTTTTTTTTCTCCCCTCTTCCCTCCCCACCCCAATAATACATCTGAAATTTGTTTTAGAATGATCAGATAACACTGTCTGTGAAACCATACTTAATTCCTAGCACCTTTCAGCAGCACTAGGACCAGGACAGTTCTCTTTTTTTTTTTCTTTTTTAGAGAGATATTTTTTGGCATTGTTCTCAGGATTTCCGTAGCTATCAAAATGAGGAGGAGAACTGTGGCCAAATTTTACAGGCAACTTTGAACACTCAAAGAGACTAAACAGTGGGAGACACAGAGAGGCTTGGGGAGCATATTATATATGCTTCCCTGCTCAGACTCTTCCTTGGGCATCCACACACATTGGAGATGGGCCTCCAGGCTGATCCAGTACAGCCCTTCTTGGGCACTGTGATCCCTCATTCTGAATAGGTTACACTGAAGATAATGCCATTAAATTAAATCAAATACGAGTTCCCATGTTATGAAGCTTCTTATAGAAACAGCCTGAGAAAAATCCCAATTAAACTGAATATGACCTGTCATCCCCCTGCCTGCCTCGAACTAGTTACTCATTTTAACCTAAATAAAGATGGTCAGATACTGTAACTCATGCAGACAAATCCTAACGTTAGAAGAAACAGATTGGATACGTGCAGGAGACAAGAAGTCTCACACTACATCCCTAGCATGGCCAAGCATATTATTGAGTTATTAGCTCCATTCCTGCGGGCGTCACAGTAGCACTAGCAGATGCTACCACAAACACGAGATGAAGACTGCAGAACTAATCAACCCAAATGGATGACCTTTGCAAAAGGGCTGCAGGTTAGGTTTCTGAGGCTTTGAGGCAACTCAAAAAAGAGGTCGTGGGAGAGTGGTAGACCTCTGAAAATAACGTTTTGCTCAATGACAGCCTCCTGCCCTTCCCTCTGCTGACAGCTGGGACAGGGAACAGCACAAATCCAGTTTATCTGCTGAAGAGATGTCTTTTATCACCAGAGGTGGTTGGAGAGTGGTAGACCTCTGAAAATAATGTTTTGCTCAATGACAGCCTCCTGCCCTTCCCTCCGCTGACTACTGGGACAGGGAACAGCACAAACCCAGTTTATCTGCTGAAGAGATGTCTTTTATCACCCTTTCCCATTCTGGGCTAGTCCCACACCACAGCCTTCCCATTGTCTGTCTCTCCTCAAGGCACCACCTTGTCTCTGCCCCAATCACCTCTGCAAACTGAGAGATACCCAGTGTCCACATTACCTAAAACATCCTCATTTCCCACCCAGATACCTAATACCCTCAAAGGCTGCACAGGCAGTGTATTTGTGATTTCCAGTCCTTCAGCTACTAAGAGAGTCATGTCCTGAAGAAGTGGGTGCACTCATGGTGCCTGGGCAAGTCAGATGAAGAGCCCCTTGGCAGTAGTTCTCGCATGCCCCGAGAGCATCAGGTGTCCGGCAGCAGCACTGCTCACTATGTGCACACAAATTCTTCCTGGGATGATCCCAGACAAAATTATAGCTACCCTACAAAGGCATTTCCTAAGGCTTGGGTCCTTTCCTGGTCTCAGAAACTTTATCATTAAGGGACTCAAATGTAGCACACCATCTTTGTATGGCTACAAAAATTATCTAAGTATACAGGGAGACAAAGTCTAATTACCTCAATTAAGATTTTGCCGAAAGGGCAAGACAACACTCCTTTTGCTTACAGTCCTGTAACTGATGGTTACTCACCAAGACTGACTTTTGGGTTAATACCAGGCAAAAGGAAGCAAATGTGTTTCCTCCAGACAGACCCCTGCAAAATCCCTTAAGAAAGGTCATCCGAAGTACCTTCTCCTTATCTCCCACCTGGAAACCAATATGCCAGTACATGGTGCCTTGTTGGTTTTTTTTCCTTCTTTTACAAGAGCATTTTCTACTTTACTTTTTAAACAAAAAAACCCAAAAATCTCTAGTGATGAACTGAATGGCTGGTGCTTTTCCTGGGAATGGCTCAGAGTTACCGAGCAGATGATGTTTATAATTTAGAAGAATAAAAGCACTCTACAAAAGCAGGAGGAGACATTTTTGACAACCAAAATAGTACTGGCTGGCAAGTGGCAGTGGTGACAAGGCAGCCCCAGATGCCTGAGGGGGAGTTTAAAAACACACACCTCTCTGTGCACCAGAGGCTGGCAGCCAGCATGCCCTCTCCCATCCCGCTTGGCTTGGTTTGCCCCTGGCTTTGGCGTGCCCTTTTTGCAGAAGAAGGGATTGAAACCAAAGCCAGAGGCTCTGCTTCAACCTGGATCCTGCTTGCTCCCAACGGCCCCTTCCCAGGCTGCAGGATGCAGCTGGTCCTGGCCAAGGTGGAAAGCACTTGAGGACTGTTGCCTTACACTGTTTTCCTTGTTTCCCAGTTTGGTTTTGTGTTTTGTTTGTTTTGTTGTGGGGTTTATTTGTTTTGTTGGGTTTTTTGGGTTTGTTGAGTTTTTTGTTCCCTGTATAACCTGGTGTCTGTTTCAGTTTTCCTTTGAGCCACTGACAAAGGCATGTGTTTTATCAGCTGAGTTGGTTTTCAGCCACATGTTGAGTTGAACAGGCTCACCACCAAGGAAAGGCCCAAGAGCCAAACCTGGTGCCAAGAAAGCCTTGGCCAGCAAAGGTGGAGGCAAGAGGGATGTATGGTCACGTTTATTCTGTTTCATAGAATCATAGGATGGTTAGAGTTGGAAGGGACCTTAAAGATCATGGAGTTCCAACCCCCCTGCCCTGGGCAGGGACACCATTTGGAGCAGCCCTGAGCTACTGGACTGGGTCAGCCCACCTTAGCTGACCGTGCCACAAGGCAGCCTGAATTTTTCCTAAGCCTGAAGACATCTGATGGGAAAACTAGGTGTCAGTGGGTAGGCAAAAATTGAACATTCCCTCCCTGTAAAACTTTCTCTCTCCCCTGATCCCATCGTTACAGCAACGCATTTGTTTTTGCAGCCTGGCCATCTATTACCTCAACGCTGTGGCTGAAGCCTACCAGCGTGCCAATGCAGAGCTGAAGAAGAAAATGCAAATGGTAAGTATGGATCTGGCAAAGCCATCTCTGAAATACCACCCGCTTTTCAGTTTAACGTGCAACATATGCTTTTAGATCGCTCTTCACTTCTGAGCGCCTCAGTGACAAAAAGGGAAAGCACGTTTTATGCTTTTTTCAGCCCTCTCTGATGGCATTTAATGGCTAACCATAGAACGGTCACATCCCATAATTGCCTGCTATTTCATACATCAAAACTACAGTGAGTTTTCCCATAAACTGTGCTTTCCACCTACAAAAATAAGTCACCTCAAAGTTCAAGTAATGTTTTGGAGCCTGAGATTTCCCAGGTATGATGATAAGCCTATCAAAGCCACAGCCAGATTTTTGTACAAGCTGAAGAGCAAAGAGCCATAAATAACAACATGGCAATATCATTTTTAGCAGTAATTCTCAAAGCACTTGAAAAAAGGAGGCTGGTGTCTGTCTCTGCCAGGGAGATGGGAAAAACAAGATACGGGCAGATGTAATGATTTGAATTAGCAGGGTAGGACTTGGACTTCATGATATTCAGAACTGGGAGAGGTTACAACATGCAGAGGACCATAACGCAGGGGACCCCTGAACTAATATGAATTAGGTCTGGCAGCAGGATAGATGCAAAAGCACAGCTCCACTCCGATAATGAGTCTTAATGAGAAACAGCAAAGGTGTGGAGACGTTACTTCCCAGGCTCTCAGTCCTCTGGGGGAAAGTGCTTTCTTTCCGAAAAAAAATAAAGCCTTTGGTCACTGGACCAAGATCCAGCAACCCCGAGCTTGGCAAAGAGATCAGATCCATACCAACAAACACCTAGCCACGCCAACCATGACGCCAGGCCACCATCTCATGGATTACATCTGCCCTTTCAAACTAAACCCGATGCTTCTTATTGATGCAGCAACGTGAAGAGGAGAAAAACAAGAGAAACAACAAAGCCAGCACTAACCCTGCGCTGCAAGATCTGGAGGATTTACTCACACCAAGTACGAAGAGCGAAAGTCACCCCAAACAAGCAGAAGGTAAAAACTAAACAATATCCCCCCCACACCCTTCCTGAAAAGGCTCCTTTTGTCAGCAAATGATGCCCGAGAAGCTGGGGCAATACACATTTGCAAGAGATCTGATGAGACTGGCACAGATTTTGTGCACTTAATGAAAGCCCACCTGCCAAAGGACGTGCAGGAAGGTTTTCAGACCGGATTATGTCTCACGCAGGTTTATCACAGTGTGGGAATTATAATCCAAAATTATGACTCAAATCCCAGCTATCAACCATGCTGATCATGATTGTTTCAACCAACTATTTATTCCGGAAACAACGCTGAAACTCCAGCACTGTTTCTGGGCTGATGAGTCAAGCCAGACACAGACTTTTTCTGAATTAAGATTTTCATTGGAAAATTCATTATGAGTGAGACAAAAGCTTTTTTCAGGACTGCATCGGTCTTCGGGCAAATAAAAGCACACAGTAAGCTCTGCTGAGGGGGTTTGTGGCTGGGCAGAAACATGCAGGAGGAGGTATTGGCACCAGGGTCCTGGCTGGACCTCAAGGATCTACCCTCAAGGTAGGGCAGATCCTCCAGGCTTGGTCTCAACCAGCCCTTTCCTGACCACCAGAGCCTCCTGCTCTTGTTTGTGAGAAACAGTGCAACACACGTGTAAAAATTTTAATTTATCTTGATGCAGAGGAGAAAGGCAGACTAGTGCCACCATAACCATCTGGCATTTAGATGGGCTGTTTCTTGGAGAGGCTGAGACGAGCTGGAAAGTTCAGGCCAACCCAATAGAGATTCCCCCCAGAGCAGACCCACAGCACCCATTGAAATTGAAATAGCGATGGCAGCATCATGATAGTATTGAAAATAAAGACAGAAATCAGCTGTTAGTTATGATGCTCACAAGCCTAGATGAGTACCAGCATGGAAATAGCAATGGCAGCATCATGAGAGTATTGAAAATAAAGACAGAAATCAGAGTTACTCAAGATGCTCACAAGCCTAGATGAGTACCAGCATGGCTGGTAGGACTATCATCTCTTATACACACATCAGTAAGAACCTGCAGAGAGAACTCGGGCAGCAGAGACACATACTGGCTATTGGCCAGGGGCTAACAGTCTTATTTATGGTTTCTTCACTCAAACACAAACCCCCAGACACTTGGGTTATTGCATGCAGAAGAAACAGCAGCCAGTGGGGAGAGGAAGGCAGGCGGTGTTTGCTCTCAAGAAAAATAACATTCATAATCTTTGCTCTAGACAAGAAAATAGAGTCTCCTAATAAAACCAGCCCTGTCGGGAGAGAAGGCAGAGCAGCAGCCCTGGATGGCAGCCCCACGACTGGTGGGAGAGGAGCAGCATTCACCCCACCACCTCACGTGTTCGTGACACAGCCACCCACACTGGGTCTCTGGCCACCTTACCTTGGCCAGCCCAGGCCAAGGGGACACCCAATGAGACCAGTCCCTGGAAGGGGGAGAGGACAGCCACGCTACTCATATCCTGCTTTATAGGCTCAGCAACATCTCTCCTGTCTGACGTTAAAACAGAGGTGCTGCATGAACTATCATAGTTTTAGGAGGAAAGGACTACTGTGTGTTTGTGATCCACTCGTGACTGGCTGTATCTATCCTGGCTCTATCTAAATCAGCTTTGTTTAGCAAGACTTTGGAGTTGCAACCCTTAAATAGCTGTGCTGATTTTGATCACAGAATCTTCCAGGTTGGAAGGGACCTTAAAGATCATCTTGTCCAACTGTCAACATGATTTTGACAAAAATAAACACCCACACAACAAACAAAAAGCAACACCATCACTAAACCATATCTGCCAGCACTACATCAACCCGTCTTTTGAACACCTCCAGGGATGGTGCCTCAACCACCTCCCTGGGCAGCACATTCCAATGGCTGAGAACCCTTTCAATGAAAAAATATTTCCTAATATCCAGCCTGAACCTACCCTGGCACAACTTGAGGCCATTTCCTCTCGTCCTGTTGCCTGGGACTTGGGAGAAGAGACCAACCCCCAACCTTTCTACAACCTCCTTTCAGATAGTTGTAGAGGGCAATAAGGTCTCCCCTCAGACTCCTCTTCTCCAGGCTGAATAACCCCAGCTCCCTCAGCCTCTCCTCATAAGACTTGTGCTCCAGACCCTTCACCATCTTTGTTGCTCAGGATGAAAATCAGCCATGGCATTGCTCAGTTACTACATGCAGGAGGTACCCTTGTGGCCACCAACAGTGGCATGGTGCGCTCGCTCTGTGGCACGAGTGCTTGTCATTCCCTTCAAAGGTTTCTTCAGTTAATAAAAGGAGTGCGAGTTTACCTATCATTTCAAAGGTAGCCGTGTGGGTGTTTTTTTCTGTCCCTCAACCTGAGGAATTAAGCATTCTTTTAAAGAAGTGAGTGGAGGACTCCTGGTAGGCCAGCACAGGAGGAGGTTTTGTCTGCTGTATGTCCACCAGCCTACACCTTCCAAACGTTCACCTTTTTGTTTCAACCCCGCCGTGTATCTCACCACCAATTTCCCTGGATTCCCACTTTGTCAACAGACTATGGAAAGAGGAGCAGTCATTTGCACCATTATCTCAAACCTTAAGACTTCTAATTTAGGAACCCCACCCAGCGAAACAGAGAGACTAGAAGTGCTTTGGCCTAGTTCCTGATACAAGTAGTTAGACATCTCTGATACAATTTAAGGATCATATCTTCCAAGTCTACAGAGCTAAGACCTAGGACTTTCCAGGACTCCGTGGCAGGTCTTCTCTGGGTTGTCCTGCTCTTTTACACCTACAGTTTGTTCCTTTTGTTGACACAGTCCCATCCCAGCCAGCTTAGATCTGATGTTCACATATGTTGTTCTTAAAAATTTATGTATAAAAAAATAAACTCATGTACTTCTGTAGAAACAAATCCATAAATATAGCTTGCAACGATTCCACTACAGCTGAGGTATTTGGGATTAAAAGGTTCTCACCTTGAATTTTCCTGCTAAATGCAACAAATATGTTAATGACAGGAAACTCAGTAATTTCTCCTCTATGGCTTGACAGAGCATTTGACCTTTAGTGCAGGAATTTCCACCCTGGAGGAGCTGGGCAAAGGGGTCCAGTTAGACAGTGTGTGAAGCAGATAGGGAAAAGGATTCCCTTTTTCAAGTTCAAACCAACAAAAGTATTTAGGCATCTGATTCCCTGTAGGAATGAAGAGCTTAAACGTTGTGCTGTGCTTATTTGTAGATCGAGACCTAACTCGGTTTTTTTGATGTCTGTGCTTTATAACACAGAACAGAGCCCTAGAGAAATACTGCTAGGAGATACAAGTGAGAGTCAAATAAAAGCAGTATTCGGAATTTCATCAGAAATTAAATAAATGTATTTTGCTTTCAAATACAGAAAAGCCAATTAGTTACTTGTAGAAGTGGCTGTCCCTGGTGTGTGGCTCAAAGCTGGTTTAGCTGTTCCCAGGCACACTGGGATGATTATTCTTTCTCCCGGGGAGCCCCCATGTGGGAAGCTGCTCATCAAATTCATTTCCTGGTCTTGGAAGGACATTTCTCTGAGGCGGGTCTCACAGATAAGGTCTTGTCTTGACTCTTCACTGCGAGAGCTGGTGGTGCAACAGGGCTGTGGTTGCCCCTCCTGACACCTCTGTCAGCAGAGACACCCAGTCATTGATCTGGAGAAGAGTCAGGCAAGAGAAGACCTTTTTTCAGGACATATTGGGCAGAACATGCTGGGGAAGGTGCTGTCAGCCTGCTAATCCAGGAGGATGTCGCAGAAACACCACAGTGCCCTAATTTCAACCCATCCTGCAGATGCCAGTATCTTAGGGAATGTTCACATAATGAGAAATAGGGTTTCCCTCCTCTGACCTCCTTATCTCACATTAAAACACGATCTAGAAAGGGGAGAAGTAGCTTCTGATCTCACTCACCTCCGCAAGAAAACAGAAAGGGGTTGGAAACATGCCTCTGCAAGAAAACAGAAAGGGGTTGGAAACATGCGTGTGTACACGCATGGAAGAAAAGTGGAGAACATATTGATTTATCTATATACACAAGTAATATAAGGGGAATAAGAAACATTATGAAGAAGCCATTGAGAACTCCAGAAAGGTTTTCAAAACTGAAGAAGCTGAAGCAGACTTAGATGGACACTGAGTAACTATCCCAGGATTTGAATGCTCTCTGAACCAGGCCCCTGGTACCTGCAATAATACTGAGCATCAGAAAGGACAGGATTGTCTCTGGAGCACACAACTGCCCATTAGATAATCAGTCTTTTGAAGGTTTGCTCACCTCTAATTATAATAAGTTAGGTCCTGCCATTGAGCAATGTCTTTTACAAGCTCAGAGGCCACATCATACAGTATCAGGTAGGCAATCATTTCTGCCGACCAGTTGCAAATTTCATCCCCAACTCCAATCCACAATGGAGTTCTCCATTAAAGCACAACAGCTGTGAAGGCTGTAAAAAAGCCAAACCTCAGTCTTCATATTGACTGAAATGATTATTTAGCTCTCCGAGTTTTGAGCCTATTTACCATTTGCTGCTGCGCTCCTTAAACTTCACAAACTCATAGGAGCACTCAGTAGTGTTTGGTTTAATCTCTATTTTTCTATTGTTAGGAACTGCAGTATGTATTTGCCTGAGAATTCAACATTGATTTTTATTTTTTTTTTCCACCACTCCTCCCCCAACATTTGTTGAAAGCCCATATCCATCCCAAGCTTCCTCCAGGGCTCAGGCTAACTTCAAGAAGAAAGAAGGGAAAAAAAGAAAATCCCAGTAGTGTGCAGTGGGAGCCTCCTAGTAACACCTCACACAGCACACAGTTTGCATTCATATATGACTAGAAAAGACCTCTGTATTGCACATTTTTCATATCTTCTATTGTCATTAGCTCAAAGGCTGCATTTAAAAGGTTTTAGTAAAAAATACAAGGAAATACCTAAGCTTAATTCTTTTATTATTCTTCTCACCAAAGGCTTGCTCACAAGGCATCTCTTGTGGGCATCAATTCTTAGT